TTTGTCTGCTAGCTTGAGCAATTGCGTAGATTAAGATAAAACTAATTGTGCATAGCTGACTGATTTGACTGAAGTTTTAGCTTTATGCATCAGTGCTAGAACAAAGGTTTTAGATCAGTGCAGCACAAAAAAATTTCCATTTTACCCATTATTTGTCATAAAGATTCCATCAGCAAACCATTTATTAGTACATTTATACATTTTAATCCGTGCAATGATTCACAGCTACATGATGCTGAAATCGCCTAATATGAAAGTTACAGATTTATACTGGACTATAACTTTTTTAATGTTTTGGGGATAATTCAGGTACTTGTTTCTGAAAAGCACCAAATTGGGGTACCTGTTTTGGTTAGACTAAAAGCTGTTTTATGGTGTCCCCCCCACCCCCCATTTAATTCAGGCAGATAATCAGGTGACTGTGAATTTGCCAGACACTGTGTTGTAAAGCACAGTAATCATATTTTCACTGTCACACACTGGAGGAATTTTTACAGAGAAACTTACAAATATTCAGCTTCATAACATCTATAGGTAAATAAATGTAACCTTTGTTCATTCCTTTTAATTGACATAAAGTAAAAGAACTCCACTGGAACTTTGAGTCTGGCAAACTGTCCTCTTTAGCTTAATTATGAAGCACATAGCTTCACTTAGTTTTTGAGAAATGATTTCTGATTAAAGCAGATTTTTTTTGCTTTCTTGTTCAGTATGTTTCCTATACATTTGGTATTTTTCTTTTCCATCACTCTCCAAACAAAGATTTTGCATGCAGGTTTCCCTTGCTTTATGCAGATTCTGTACGTGCGAATTTGCTTTTCTGTGATGATCCTTTTTATACCAATAATTAATTATATGAGAGGTAAATTCACTCTTATCCAATCGGTGTGGTGGAAACCCAGCCAGCTGCTTTGTGTGGTGCATTGTGGAAGTGATGTGCACCAAAATATAGTCTCCTGTTTGGATCTGTGCTCCTCTCTTGTTGCCTGCAACAGGGGTTTCTGTAGTTAACATCCCCATTATGATAGTGCCCCATGGTTGTGTATACTGTCTGCTGTTGGTGAGTACCAAAACTGTCTTGTAAAAGTGGTAGAAATGGGTCTGGGGATCAGTACAGTTGAGGTCTTGGAACGTAGTCCTATTTGTTACATTGTAAAGTGGGTTCCCTTTATGCAAATTTGAGTTATGCGCTGTTTTCTGAACACATGTACAGCACAAAGGGAGAGAAACCTGTAATTCACAGTGAGATTCTGTTAGGGGACAATCACAGTCTAAATAACGAATTAACAGCTTGGAATTAGTAGCATATGCATGTTTCATACAGCAGATTCCTATACCAACCATCAGTTTTGCATTATGAATGTTAAAGACAAATCTTAAATGCACAGTTTTTAAACAAATCAGAACACAACCATTTCTAAAGAATCACTGCAATTAAGTTATAAGATAGTGGACTGCTTAACAAGAGGGAGCAGGGGTTCAATCAGAGGGCTTACAGAGAACAGGAAAACAAAATTAAAATGAGACCTTGAGATTCCAGTTTATAGGACTATGATATATAGCTAGTTGACCCTGCTTTTTCCAGCATTTGATCCTAGGTTGTATATCTTTGTTTAATGTATAGGTCAGGGACCAGGTAGGCAATGATAAAAGACTCGCATTGTTTTCAATATGGTAAATAGAAAAGGTACATATCCATGTTCAGCTTATGAGACATAAGATGAGAACAGTTCCAGTGGTACGGATACAAGAATTTAAATTCTGTAATAATCTGAAGATCGGTGAAAGAGTATTTTTCTCCACAGCCCACACATTCTATGTACAACACAGCATCTTCATTTTCTTTTGATCTGTAAATCGTACCAACTTAGGAAAAAATATCATATTCATTATTTTATTCTAAAATCCTGTGTAGTACAAAACTAACTACACCAGGATACAAACATGTGTTAGTTGCTGTCAGTCTGGTTTCTTTTCGCATCCTCGCAGGGGTTTTCAGTCAGTTGCTGTTCCTCTAAGGTTCTGCTCCAGAAACATTGTTAGGTTGCTGGCTGTGCAAATTTCAGAAATATAAGAAAATACTTTTAAAATAAGGAGAGAAAAAAAGGAGGACATGCAATCTCCAGTTACAAAGTGCTCTGAAATGGAATTGGAAATGTGGCAGGAAATACTGAGGTCAAGAAGCATTACTGGGACTCAGGCTATCTGGGTTCAATTTCTGGCTTTGTCACTGCCTCACTGTGTAATTTTAAGCTAATGATGTAATCATTCTGTGCCTCAGTGTCCAGCCTTTTCCTCATATTTAGCTTCTCTTTATTCCTGCCATTAACTTGTCAATAGTCAAATACATTGGGAAGGTTTGTTCTCTTATCACAGCTTTAAGTACAGTAACTGGCATGAAGGGGCCTTAATTTTGGCTGGGCGTGCGAATGATACTGTAATACCAATAATAATAAAACAGACAAAAATAAGTAGAAGAAACACAAGAAAATAATGCTTTCCCAGCTTTTTCATGGTTTTTTTTTCTGATCAGAATTCCAGTAATTCCAAATGAGCACAAACAACTAATGTATTATAAAACAACCAATGTATGATTTTATTTCTCTGGATGTTGACTGTTGTGTTGCTGGACCTCATCACATAGCCTTGTTACCTTCCTAAAAACTCCACCTAAGTTCACATAGCACATTTCATCACAAAGGGCTTCCCAGACTTGGGACAGCAGGCTGGCGGTGGGAGCTACATGTGCAAATTAAGGGCTATTAGCTGGCTGTGTAGGCTTTGTGTCACTTCCCCTGTTCTTGAAATAGTCACGAGGTGTCTATATGGCAACCATTTACAGCTGTGATATACACTTGTTTATGTGGGTGATTCAATGTATTGAAATTACAGAGAAATATGGATAGGGCAAATAGACAGTAGAAACTAGAAACTGTTCAGGAAAGTTTACCTGATCCCAAAGGACTCTTTCCTGACTGTTCAAGGTCTGGGTGTCAAAATTACTTAGCATCACCTGGCACCTTCAGCAACCTGTCCAATTTATCGCTCTGCTGCTCTTGGGGCTGACTCATGGGGATGGTGAATCACCACTTCCCCGCTGAATCACCAGCCCATATCCTGCAGCATCCCAGTTTACCCTGGCCGTAAGGAAAATAAGCAGGCTCAGGAGTGATCTGATGGCCACCTATAAGTTTATCAGGGGTGACCACCAGTACCTGGGCAACGTTTGTTCACCAGAGCGCCCCAAGGGATGATGAGGTCGAACGGTCATAAACTACTACAAGACCATTTCAGGCTGGACATAAGGAAGAATTTCTTTACTGTCTGAGCCCCCAAAGTCTTGCCATTGGAGGTGGAACAGCTTGCCATTGGAGGTGGTTCAAACACCTACATTGAACACTTTCAAGAGTAAATTGGATGCTTATCTTGCTGGGATTCTGTGACCCCAGCTGACTTCCTGCCCTTCGGGCAGGGGGCTGGACTTGATGATCTTCCGAGGTCCCTTCCAGCCCTAATGTCTATGAAATCTATGAAATCATGTTGCTAATGCTGGATTTTCAGATACTTTCCTGCATGAGTTAGACATGTCATTAGACGAATCGCAACATGTTAAAAATAATTGTGACTGCTAACTTATCTTGTGTAGCAAAATTATTAGAAACCAAAGCTTTTTTTAAAATCTAAAAATTATCAGCCTGAATTTTGTATCCTAAATCTGTTTTCACATTTTCAATCATTAAAAATTAACCAGCAAAGAAAAAACTTCTTTCCTTTTGCCTTAAAAGTGGGAGGGGAAGAAGAGCGTACACCCTTCATCCTCTTTATGACAAATAAGGGAGACAGTGGAGAGTTGTGTATGAAAGGTTTCACCTCATTGGGACTACCCATTGCTCCTGCCTAGCTGCTCCTCGCTTCCTGCAGATTTCTCCTGTCCTTGTCCTCTACATTTCTTTCCCCTCAGATACACGTCGCCATCAGGGTATCGCTGTCCTCAGGGCCGTGCCCCGGGTTATCTGGGCTCCGGGTGTCGTGAGGAAAGGGCATTTCTAACAACGAGGCAGAGTTGATTTGTTCCTTGTATCGCACACGCAGGGGCTAGGGGTCGGCGCTGTTACGCCTGAGAGGCTGCAGGGGCAACACGCGACCACGCGTGTGCTGGCCCCGCGTCTGCCCCCGCCATAGCACAGCCAACCGCCAACCGCCACGGGGGTCGCGTGGGGCAACTGCCAGCCCGGGGGGCGGGGCTCGCGGCCTACTTGGGGCCACGCCCCTCCCCCGCCACGTGACGGGGGAAGCGGTGACGCCATCTGCCCTGGGGCTGACACTCGGCGCAGGGCGGGCGCGGCAGCTGAAGTCGCCTTCGCGCTGGAGCGGGACCCCAACCCCGACCCCGACCCCCGCAGGTGAGGCGGCTAGTCCGTGGGGGGCGGGAGACATGGGCCCACGCACCTGCTTGCCCAGCCCAGCCCAGCCCAGCCCAGCCCAGCCCCGCTCCGCGCTGTGCGGCTGGTGCCGTCCCGGCCCGAGGCCGCTCCG